TCCTTCCTTCCTTCCTTCCTTCCTTCCTTCCTTCCTTCCTTCCTTCCTTCCTTCCTTCCTTCCTTTCTTCTCTTTCTTCTCTTTCTTCTCTTTCTCTCTTTCTTTCTTTCTTTTTTTTTGAGAGGGAACCTTGCTCTGTTTTCCAACTGGGAGCTGTTGCCTGGCAATGGCTGGTGGGACCCAGGCCAGGACCACACAGAGCTCATAGTGAGCAGAGCCCTGCAGGCCTGGCCAGGGGGCATCCACCTCCCCTAGAGGGAGCTTTCCTTTCAGTGGGTGGACAACATGGAGCTGGTCTTCCCCCTCCCGGAGCTCTCCCCAGCTATGCCCACCTCACACCACCTTCTGTCCAACATCCTTAGGTGTAGACTGTTAGACACTCCACTTACGGGATGCCTGAGATTCACCTGAGGAAAAAGTTTGGTCTCACAAGTAATTCATATGATCTCTGCTTTCTGGAAACAGCCTTCTCTCCTTTCTGTCTGTACTGCTAGAATACTCAGAGGCAACCCCACCCAAATGAAATTGGCTCCTTTTGAGAACATCAAAACTGCTGCTCCCTGCTGCAAGTACTCTCTGCAGAGACAGCTAATGCCTGCCTCAGAGTCTCCCAGAGACTGTAGTCTTTATTTATTTATTTATTTATTTTTATTCTACTTTTTTTTTTTTTTTTTTTTTTTTTTTTTTGAGATGGAGTCTTGCTCTGTCGTCCAGGCTGGAGTGCAGTGGCTTGATCTCTGCTCACTGCAACCTCCCCTTCCGGGTTCAAGAGATTCTCCTGCCTCAGCCTCCCTAATAGCTGGGACTACAGACATGCCCTACCACACCTGGCTAATTTCTGTATTTTTAGTAGAGACAGGGTTTCACCATATTAGCCGGGCTGATCTTGAACTCCTGACCTCAGGTAATCTGCCCGCCTCGGCCTCCCAAAGTGCTGGGATTATAGGCCCGAGCCACTATGTTCGTTTAACCGCAGTCTTAAATAGACATACTACACAGTCTAACTCAGTGCTTTCCAACAGGAGTGAAAGCCAGAAATGCAAGTCACTTATAAAATTCTAAATATTCTAGTAGCTACATTTAAAAAGTGAAAAGAAATGGGTGAAATTAATTTTAGTAATAATCCAATATCCAAAACATTATCATTTCAACGTATATTACAATATTAATGATATTAATAACAAAATTTATTAATGAGATATTTGCATTCTTTTTTGTATGAAATCTTCAAAATATTGTGTGCAGTTTACACTTGTAGCATATCCCAACTCACACCACATTTCAAGTGGCCAGTGGCTATCATATTGGTCAGTGTAGGCTAAACTGATATCCTGGGTCTATGCCCATCTGTTTCTCTCTATCCTTCTGTCTCTCTCTTTTGTCTCTTTCTCTCTATCACACACACACACACACACACACACACACACACACACCACATACACACCACATACACATACCATATACATTCTACCCTCAGTTTATTCCAAGCAACACTAATACAGGCAGTTTTGGTGTGGAAAGGACTAACCTTATCAGACAACTACACCAACAGTGTGAAAGGATAATATTTTTAAAGCAAAATCTTGAATTGCATACTAAGTGAACAACTGCTAAATATTATTTGCTTGTGAATTCACGTAGGAATCAATAAGATGTGACAGCCCAAGGAGCTGGGCAGTGCTCATCTTGTGGCTCATTCCTGGGTCTGGTTCAGAGAAGAATTCAAAGAGCCAGTGCATGTGTAGACTGTTATGAATGCCCAGATGAATTTACTTAATATAGGCAAAATTGGCTTCTTCCACAGAGAAGGGAAAAATCAATTGTGCTTCCACTGGACAACACTTATTTGCATGTTTATAGAGAAGAATCATTGCCTTGCTATTAGTTATAATTTACAGAGTTGTGGTAGGGTGCGGTGGCTCACGCCTGTAATCCCAGCACTTTGGGAGGAATAGGCGGGTGGATCAATGGAGGTCAGGTGTTCGAGACCAGCCTGGCTAACATGGTGAAACCGCGTCTCTATTAAAAATACAAAAATTAGCCTGGCATGGTGTGCACATCTGTAATACTAGCTACTCAGGAGGCTGAGGCATGAGAATCACTTGAACCTGGGAGGTGAAGTTTGCAGTGAGCTGAGATCATGCCACTGCAGCCTGGGTGACAGAGATAGACTCTATCCAAAAAAAAAAAAAAAAAAAAAAGAAAAGAAAAAAAAGAAATAATAATAATTTACAGAGTTTTGAAACAGCTCAAAGACAACAAAAGGTTCAGACACCCCATCAAATCAGATAACCGGACACCTATGATCTTTTTGGTTTGTTTCAGTCTTTCACAACTTACACCTGTAGAGCTTGGATTATAACATGATCCCTTACTTTATGAAATCAGCTTGTTGAACAAGCAAACTCATGTGGTAGAATCCTAATGGTACTTGATTTTGTTCACCCAGTGTCCCAGCATGCTCAGTGGAGTGGGCTGGTGGCCTGCTATTGGGGTGGAAACTCAGGCAGTTCGTGAGTTTTGTAATCTCTCTAAGCAACAGAAAATACCATAATTCCAGAAAGTCTCAAGTTTCCATTTAGTAATTAAACTGCCAGACCCCAGATAAAATCAAAACTGAACACCTGTCTGGGTGAAAATGCCTTTCTTCTTGGGGCCTTCAGGAAGGAGTGCCCCTCCTTTCTCACTCACCCCCTCCCCACCAACCCCCAGGTACAGGGATTGCAGCAGGGCTTGTAGGGAGGGAAGGAGGCAGGCTGAGAGCTCTTACTGGGCAGTTCGGTAGGCAGGAAACCTTGTACGCTCTGGATCTGGCTGAGGTTTGAGCTGTCACTGCCTGTCTCTCTGTCTCTGTCTCTGTCTCTCTCTGTCTCTCTCTCTGTCTCTCTCTCTCTCTCTCTCTCTCTCTCTCTCTCTCTCTCTCGTGCTTTGGATGTCCCCTGCTGCTCCTCTGGTACTCATGATGAGGATCACTCCCTCCTCTAGCTCCTGGGTTCTCAGATGAAGGGTGACAGGAGCACTAACTATTGTCTCCTGAGACGTCATCTCCCTACCCTCCAGCTGTCTGACCCTCTTACCCCTCACAGTGCATGAGGGGTTCAGGAGGCATGATGCCAGATTCTGGGCATTTCCTCTAAAAATTTGCATGTTCCCTGGCCCCTCCTTCGGTGTCCATGTTCCTTGTGTCTTAATGCCTTGCCTGTAATTGCAATGAGAAGCTGATTGTGTTTCAAATGGGTACCTCTCTGCAGGGCCCATACAGGGAGGCACCCAAGCCAGTGTATTGAGAAGGGGTGTGAGCAGTGGGCCAGGGGAGGCTGTGTGGTTGGGTGTGGGGGTACCAGGGCCACTGCCTACCTGCTGGGCTGTTGGGCAGAGTTTGCTAAGTGCCCAGCAAACAGCCTCTTCTCTACACAGCCCCAAGTAGCTGGGCAGTGCCCACTTTGTGGCTCATTCCTGGGCTTGGTGGAGTTGGTGCAAATCCCACCCTCTCCTCTTCTAGATGGCTGGCCTTGGCGAGATGCTCACACTTTCTGGGCCTCAGTGTCCTCATCTGTGAACTAGGCATGATCATAGTTCACACTTCACTTGGCAGCATGGGAGTGAATCAAGGTGAGCTGGCAAGGGGCCAGCTCCCAGGAGGTAGATGGTGGCCATGATCATGGTGATGTGTGCACTGGGACCTTGGGATCCCCCTTGGCTGGTCCCCAGCCCATCTGTCACAGAAAAGACACCACAGCAATTCCAATTTGGCAACAGAGTTTATTGAGGTACCCCCTCGTGGGCCTGGCCCTGCCCCTCATTCCTCTTTCTCGTCTCCATGGGTGATGATGTAGCACAGTGACTTGTAGTCGATGTTCCCCGCCAGGTCCATGGGTGTCAGGGCGAACATCTGCTCCACCTGCAGGGGGCACTGGTGAGAGCTAGCCCCCTAGCTCCTGGCCCAGCTGGGCAGAGACCTCACCTGAGTCCTGTGGCCCTTCTGCCTGCCCCCTGCATCTGTGCTTTGTGCCTTAGCTTTTCAACCCTAGACCCCAGACTCTGGGTTAATGTTTTTCTGTTGGCTGACTCTGGGCAGAGTGAAGAGTCGGTGCAAATGGGGGCCAAGGGGCAAAGGGTGCCCCTCCAGCCACAGGCACAGGCCCACCCCAAGTATACGAAACCTCTCCCTATCTGCTTTTCCCCGGGTCTGTGTACGGTCTCCCTGCCTGGTGCAACATGCTGTCTTTTCTGACTCCACATCTTTACCCTCTAGGTCTCAACAGAGATGGCACCTCCTCCAGAAAGGCCCCCGGCTCACCCTTCCAGCAACTGCCTCACTGGTACTGGGCTCTGGGTCATGGGTGAGGCCCAGAGAAGGTGCTGGGGATGGGTATTGAAGGGGCTGGGCAGCCTCACCTCAGCTGGAGAGAACTTGTCTGCCTGGGTCAGGAGAAGCTGCTTAAACCTGCGGGGAGTGAGGAGGGTCTGAGCAGGAGACTGTGGGGGAGTGGCTGTGCAGGGAAGATGGGTACAGAGGCTCTCATGGTGTAGGGAAGGGTTGGCCACACCCCAAAGAGTAGTATAAGGCCCCGAAGTACAGGCAGCCCCCCTCACAAGGGGCCTCACCCCCCTCTCTGCTTCCACCACTGTGCCCCTCATCTGGCTGGGCCCACACTTACTCTTCCTTGTTCACCACCCCTTTGCCACTGGGGTCAAACATGCGGAAGGCACTCAGGATGGCTTCCTCGGGGTCTGTCCCTGGGAGGCCAAGGCAGCCAGGTGAGCATCCACGTCTCCAGCATCCCAGGTCCCGCCTAGCAGGAACTGGGCTGCATGAGGAGCCCCCCGCATCCCAGAAGAGGTGGGGGTATTCCCTAATATAAAGTGTTTCTCGAGGATCAGTGGGGCTGGGAATGGTCATCCTCCTGAGGTGGGCAGCCTGGCTGGGAGATTGGAATTTGGGGGTGGGGGCTGAAGGCACGTTTCCTGGCCCCAAGTCAGCACTGGGGTGACCAGTGCCCGTGGGATTCTGGGGCACAGGAAGTGCTTAGAATGGGCCATGGCTAGGAAGAGTCCAGGTGGGCCCAGATGGGGTACAGTTAGGGTTCCGGTGGGGTTCAGGCAGGGTTCAGGTGGGGTTCAGGCAGGGTGCAGGCTCCCTGCCTGGCCAAGGGTGCCCAGCTCTGTCCCAGGCTCACCATTGAGCTTCTCCCCAAAGAGCGTGAGGAAGACGGTGAAGTTGATGGGACCCTTGCCCTCCTGCAGCATGGCGTCCAGCTCCTCCTCTGGGACACTCACCTTCCCTGGTGGGGGTGGGGCATGAGGTACACACCAGGACCCTGGGTGTCCCCCAGAAGGGCCTAGGCCACCCTCCCTCTATCCTGGCTGCAGGGGCTGGAGGGGCAGAGGCAGCTGTGGGTCGGGGAGGTGAAGTGGAAGGAAGGCATGACAAGGGGGGAAGGGCAGTGTGAGGAGATGGGGAGGAGGGGAAGCAGGGGAGCGGGGCGCTGTCCCCCCAGCCACTCCCACCCACCCAGCAGCTCAGAGCAGGGGCCCCAGTCTGCAGGGTGGGGCTGGGTGGGAGGTGGGTGCACACACCCAGCTGGGAGTAGGTCTCCCTCAGGTCTGCCTTGCAGATGATGCCATCACGATTCTGGTCGATACAGCTGAAGGCCTGTGAGATGAGGGCTTTCAGTTGGGAGCAGCCCCCAGCTCTAGGGAAGGTGGGAAGAGGGGGAGAGGCCTGGGTGGTGTAAGGGGCAAGGTCAGGATAGAAGGGGGGTGTGTATGTGGGGTGGGGTTGGGCAGGCCGGGATGGGGTCTGAGGCTGCTTGGAGTGGGCACTCACTTCCTTGAACTCCTGGATCTGGGCTTGTTCAAACATGGAAAAGACGTTGGAAGAACCACGTTGGGCCTGCTTGGTGGCCGCCACTTTGCCTCGGGTCCCCGCCTTCCTGCTGGCCTGCAACACCGTGAGTAGGGAGGGGTCCTCTCCCCACCTCCTCAAAGTCTCCCCACCCCACCCACCATGCACCGTCCCAGAGCATTCCCAGGAGAGCCAGGGCCAGGATCCTCTTCCTCTCCCTGGGGACCACCCTCAACCAAACGCAAGCACAGAAAACTCTGCTCCCCCAGCCCAAAGGCCAGCACCAGGGAGACCGCTAGCCTTTCCTCCCCAGCAGGCACTCACCATTCTCTCTGCAGAGGTGTGGCTGCTGTCAGCGTGGCAGGGCCCAGCCTCCTTTATGTCTCAGGCTTATCACCTGAAGGTCCAAATAAGGAGAGGAACAGAGGACAGGACCAAACTTGGCAGCCCCCATCTGGGCTGGGGAGGACGAAGGCCCTAACAGATTCCAGCCACATTCCTGATGACCTTCATGTCCTCAACGTGTAACATCCTGCTGTCTATCCATCCTGGCAGGGCCAGGCACAATGTCTGCCCAGAGCAGAGCAGGCTCAAAGCTCTCACCACCCTAGGTCCCGATGAAGGGATCCAGTTACTCCCATATCTGACTACCCCTCCTTGCCAGTCCAGCCAGAACCCTGACCAGTGCAAGAGGACAGCTGGAGAGGGTCAGTCCAGGGACCCCCCCAGGCTTGGGAAGGCAGTGGGTAGTTCTGAGAATGGTCTGTGGCCTGAGACCCCCCTGGGCTGCCCAGAGGTTTTGGTGACCCTAGGCTCTGACCTTTTGCCCCTCTGACGAAGGGACAGAAGGCATCCCCGAGCTAGCTGTGACCCCAAGCAGAACACTTTGCTTGGCTTTGGGGTAATTCTGGAGGGTGAGGGAGCTCCATCAGTTGCCCTCCCATGCAGTCTGCCTTGTCCCCAGTCTGCCCTGCTGTTTGGAACCTTGCCTTCCTCAATCCCCATCTCAACCACACTACTTCAAAAAGCTCTCCCTAACATCCTCAGCGAGGAGCTTCTGGGGCACGTTTCCCATTTGCCTGGTGGCTGATGTGTTTGTATTCCTGGCTTCAGTGCCTCTCCTGAACACCCAGCCTGGTTGACATCTGGATCCCCCGAAGGCCTGGTGCACAGTGGGCCGATGGGCAGGCCTGCGTGATGCTGTTCCAGAGAAGCAGACTTGCCAGCTTCTGGGGCCGAGGGCACAGCAGAGGGGCTGGGGAAACAGGGGACATCCTGGAGGCAGCAGGAGTGGGTCACCCCAGGCTGGGCTCACTGGCTGCTGCCCCTCCACTGGAGCCAGGCCCATGTCTGTCAGTAGCTGACTGGTAGAGTGCAGGAGCTCTCATGTGATACTCTTTTTATATAACAAGAGTTTTCTTTTAAATTTCTTAAATTCCTCTTTTTTTTTGAGACGGAGTCTCTCTCGCACAGGCTGGAGTGCAGTGGTGCATTCTCAGCTCACTGCAACCTCTGCCTCCCAGGTTCAAGCGATTCTCATTCCTCAACTTCCCAAGCAGCTGGGATTACAGGCATGCACCACCACACCCAGCTAATTTATATATATATACACATATATATAATTATTTTTTTTTAGTAGAGACAGGGTTTTATCATGTTGGCCAGGCCAGTCTCGAACTCCTGATCTTAGGCGATCTGCCTGCTTCAGCTTCCTAAAGTGCTGGGATTACAGGTGTGAGCCACTGAGCTCTGTCACCCAGGCTGAAGTGCAGAGGCATGAGTAGAGCTCACTGCAGACAACCCCTGGGCTCAAGTGCTTCTTCCTGCCTCAACCTCTGGAATAGTTAGGACTACAGGTGCACACCACCCTGCCCAGTGTTTTTTTTTTTCTTTCTTTTTTTAATTAATTAATTAATTCATTCATTTTTGAGACAGAGTCTTGCTCTGTTGCCCAGGCTAGAGTGCAGTGGTGCGATCTCTGCTCACTGCAACCTCCGCCTCCCAGGTTCAAGCAATTCTCTTGCCTCAGCCTCCCGAGTAGCTGGGATTACAGGCGCCTGCCATCATGCCTGGCTACTTTTTGTATTTGTAGTAGAGACGGGGTTTCACCATGTTGGCGAGGCTGATCCCAAACTCCTGACCTTATGATCTACCTGCTTCGGCCTCCCAAAGTGCTGGAATTACAGGCGTGAGCCACCGTGCCCAGCAGCCCCCCACTTTTTTTTTTAAGAGATGGGGTCTTGCTATGTTGCCCCAGGCTGGTCTCAAATTCCTGGCTTTAAGCAATCCTCCACCTCAGCCTTTCAAAGCACTGAGATTATAGGCGTGAGCCATCACACTGTTCCCTAACAAGTGTTTTATGACACTCCCTTTGTTATCTAGAAAAGAAATTCATTTTATCTATTTCAATTCAGCCATTTCAATTCAGACATATAACCTACCTACATATAGAATTTTAAGAATTAATACAATGCCCTGAACTGTAATATAAAGGAGAAATAGAAAGCAATTGATATTAAAATGTGTTCCACTTTGTGAATGCTTGAACATAACAGTAATGATAACAAAGTAATCAGATGCTTGCACTAACTTATAAGGACTAATTTAGACTCAAGAGAACTAAGAAGATCCAAAGCAATTCCACATGAGAAGTAGCAGATAGCAAGAAATCTGAAGGGGGACATGACTTTTCAAAATCACAACTTTGGGTTAAGATCTGAAGGAAACAAAACAGTTGTTCCTGATTAGCTGGGTGGTGTCTCTCGTCGAAAAATGAACGTGCATGATAATCACACAAATATGTATCTATGTCACTGTGTTTATGCTGCAGAAAGATGGCATTAGGCCTATGTTTGGCTAATTCTAAACAGGCATTCCACCAACAGGAGCATCTGGCGGGACCTTAGAAATCCAACGTGTATCTGGGCCTCCACTCACTGGCAAACCTAAGTGGCTCTGACTGGACAGGACGGTGCTGAGACTGACATGCAGCTTCATTCCCCCACTTCCCCAGAGCAGCACCTGGCCTGGCACTCTCTCTGCACACATTCCATGGGCAGGCAAGCAGGGGAACCGGTCAGGCAGTGTATTGTCCACTACTCTGCCATCCTCCATGATACCCCATTCCTGTTCCTACAGCCTGGTCTGTCACTCCTCACACTCCCCGGGGCACGGCTGGCTGGAAGGAGCTGTCTGGAGGGCATGGCCGAGATACTGAAGTATCTTCATGCATGTGACGCTGACTCTTTATAGATTGTCCCCACAGTCCTTATGCACAGAAGTCAAAGAACAGTGGACAGGCCATGTTTAAAACTTTTAACATTTTTAATTAAAAAACTCACACAGTCTCAGGTTGGGCATGGAGAAGGTGGCATGTCGTATGATGGGGTGGTCCCTTGGGGTGTGCTGAATGCTGCTTGGGGTTTCTTCCTGAGCCAGTGCTGCAGGAGCTGAAAATGCAGGGCTGGCCCTTCTCCCCTTTGTGGGCCCCTTGGGGCAGGGGCTTGGGGGCTCTGTCTCTTGCACCTGCTGTGAGGGTCCATCCCAGAATCACAAGTCACTCAGGGATGGGGGTACAGGAGAGAAAAGGTCTCGGGGGGTATTCGCAGCTTGGGACACCTCCTCCATGGAGCCCTCTCCCATTGCTCCCTTGGCCTCTTGAGCCTCAAGCAAGAAAATGGCCAGGACTGGGTGATGAGCAGCCCCTGGCTGCCCTTTTGGCCCAGGTGTAGGTCTGGTCAAGCTGTTGGAGCTGCCTCCCCACACAGGATGAGTTCCCAGGGAAGACAGGCCATAGCAGGATTCAGAGGGCACCCCCTTCCCAGAGCCTGGGCCCAGGCGAGGCCAACAGCTCTGACAGTGTGGAAATGCAACAAAGTCCTGAGTGAGCAACTCCCTTCTAGGAAGTTGATTCCAGTGAGAAAGGTGGGGGCTTCCAGAGTCTCTGTCCCTGCTCCTGCCACACCCCAGTTAGGGCCCTGGGGCTGTCCCACTGAGTGACTGAGGGAAGAGGCCCGCTCGGTTCCCCAGCGGGATGGCAGGCAGCCCAGGTCCTGACAAGGCCAGGTCTCCTGCCCCGCCAGGCTGCGAGCACGTGTGGGGAGCACTTCCCCGTGGAGCCTGGGTGCTGTGGGGCTGTGGCATCCTCCCTGTGCTGGCGGTCACTGCTCTCACTGGCCCAGCATGCAGGCCTTCTTACAGGCCACCGCCGAGACCAGGGCCGCGCCCCGGCCACTGCCCTCCTCCGACTCGATGAAGGTGATCTCGCAGCTGGGCGTCAGCCTGCGCACGCTAGCGTGGAACTGCTCCTTGAAGCTGGGCAGAAGAGAAGCAGGGCTGCCATCCCTCCTCCCAGCCCATCCTCCACATTCATTACCGGGCATGCTGCACGAAGTCGACCCTTCCCCCAAATCTAGGCCAAGGGGGACGAGAAGAGGATTACAAAATCTTGGAGCTTGGGAGCCACAAGGAACCTTGGAGCACGCGCTTTTTGGGCCCCACTTTACCAGGGAGAGGGCGCGGCGGGCTCACCTGGGGTGCAGCTTGTACACGGAGCCATCCACGCCCACAGTGATGCGCATTACATCCTCGCTGCGGCTCTCGCGCATGCGGTTGATGACGCCCGCCAGCCCCGCCGAGCACATGTGTGCAGCGCGCGTAGACACGCTCTCGCAGGCGCGGCGCACGATGTCGCAGTCAGTGGCCGAGGGTCGTAGCCCCAGCGTGCTCAGGATGTTGTAGATCTGCTTGCGGTCGCCCGTGTCGCTGCGGGGCGGGAGGAGGTAGGGCGGTCGCTGAGGGTGGCTCCGACAATCCATCCCCCTCCAGCGGCGGCCTCTCCTCCAGGGAGGGGCCCCTGCCAGCCGTCCACCCAGCGGCGGGCCCCTCTCTGGAGAAATGGGGCGATCCTGCTCACCTCAACCAGTCAAAGCGTTTCCGCTAGGGACCAGCAGTAACCTAGTTAGTACTGCGCCCTCTAACTAAGCCCAGGGTCTCTGCCAGGGAAGTGAGGCCACAGCAAGATCCAGAGAGCACCGCCACGGCGGGCAGGGAGCACCAAGGGGACTCACGGATGGGGACACTGCCCAGACGCGGGCTCGCCCCCATCCCTGCTCCTGGCATCCCCGTCCGGACCCCACCTCCTACCCGGGACCCGTCCCTGTCCAGCCCTCGCCTCCAGCGCCCCGCCTCGGGCCCCGCCCACTCCCGCCCCGCCCCCTGTGCCCCGCCCCGCCCCCTGTGCCCCGCCCCATGCCCTGCCCACGCCCGGAATCCGGCACCAGGCCCTAGTTTCCTGTCCCTGCGCCACGGGCCTGGGACTCAGTCTCGCCCTGAGACCAAGTCTGCAGTGCCCGGACTGGACGTCCCCAGCCCCTGCCCTTTGCACCTGCCCTTCTCCTCCGCACACCTCTCCACCTGCGACACGAAGCGTGTCTCGAAGGCTCCGCGTGTGCGCAGCTGCTCGGAGGCCTCCCCGTGGAAGAGCAGGTTTTCGTCCACGAGCCTGAGCAGCACGAGCCGCACCAGCTCGCCCATGTACTTGCCACCTATGAGCTTCTCATACCTGGACACAGGGCAGCTCCATTACATCAGCAGGCACGAGGGAGGGCCCCTCGTGCAGGTGGAAGCCGGGAACCGGCGCCACTTTTCCCCATTGAGGTCACGAGGCGGCCACGTGGGGCACTGTGATCCCCACTCCCCCATCCGGTTCCGTCTTTCCCTCGTTAATGAACCAGAGTTTAGAAACGTCAGGGATTAGGAACGTGCACATCCAACTCAATGACGGGAGCAAGTTTGGCCTGCCCCTGGGCCCACTTCAGTGAAGGGACAGACAGATAGTTCAAAGACCCCATCCAGTCCCTCCGAAACCTTCCTTGCAGGAGGCCCTGCGCCGAGCACAGGACCTAGAGCTTCAGTCCTTTAGCTGCGTCCGGAGCTGCTGTTCATCGGCCATTTATGGTTGGGGAAACTAAGGTTTGGAGGGTTAGTGCCCAGTCGGAGGCACGCACCATGTTGCTGGCACTTTCTTGCTTAATCTATGACCTTCCGTATTTAATTAAAATAAATGGAATACTACTGACCTATAATAATAGAGGCCTGCGAGCGGCAGAGAGGACGCTAATAAAATAATTAGCATAGGCCTGGCGCAGTAGGTGGTTAACAAGTGATAGCCATGGTTAATGATGAGCTCTCTCTGGGTTGGTTTCCAAGCTGTGACTGCCAACCCGCAGCATTCCACAAAAGACTAATATTCTTTCTGTGAATGTGGCCAAATACATACTTTGGGGAATGTTGGGTTAAACCCAGAAACCTTACTGGGGGCGTCTCAGAGCCTCCTCTGCATGCACAATCACCTGTCAGAAGGAGAGAGGTCTGGGCTTATCAAATCACAACTGGGACTAACCCTTCATCTCTCACAGGGGCAGGTCATGACTGAGCAGAAGGGATGGAGCTTACGAAAGGATTGTCAGTTTGCTTTTCCCCAGAGTTGTTTAAAAACAAGCCCATTATCAGCAGTGGCCCGGCTCCCATCTGCCGCTGCACCAGAGTGGCCCAGGGCCTGGGCTGTGGGGGAGGGGGGGCATCCTTACAGCTGCTGACCGGGGTTTGCAGAGCTCTCGTCCACCAGGCGGTCATACTCCAGCAGGAACTCGTCCAGCTCGCCCGAGTCCCCGAAGGCGCCCCATTCGGTGTTGACGCACATGCGGCCCTCGTCTCCCTCCACCAGCTCCACATTCTGCATCTCCTCCATGTAGCAGGCGTTGCAGCCCGTGCCTGGGGTGGAGGTCGGGGGGACTGTCAGCAAGAGCTGCACTGCCCTGGAGTATGGCCTGGTTCCTGCCGACAGGAGCCCCACCTCTCCCACTCCCCCATGCCTGTCTCTGCTTTGCCTGGAACAATGGAAAGGCAGGTCTGCCCGGGGCTGGAAGACCTGGGTTGCTTCAGTGGCTAGGGACAGCTTTCTGGACTGTCCTCTTTCCTAACAGGCAACAGTAACACCTTCCCTGCCTGTTACCTAGGTGGTTGGGAGGATTGAGAGAAACAGTGTGTATCAAAGAAATGGTTGTGGTACATTATCATTTTATTTTGTCTATGCACCACCCTTGTTTTCTGGCACTGCCCATGCACATGTTTGAGCTTCTCTGTCGTTGAGCCATGTTTGCATGGCAACCCAAAGTAAGGCATGGTGTGGGCCCTTGGGAGCAGTCCAGAGGCTCCTGTAGACAAGACCGGATGTGGAATTTTGTAATTTGCTGGCTCCTGTGCAGAGTGACAACATGGAGTCTTTTGTTCACAAGTTATTAATAGTTTCACACTGGTGACAGCAGAGCCTCAAGCTAGCATGACTGTGTGGGCTGCACACCCCTAAAGCTGTCAGGGACAGCAACTCAAATGTTGGTCAGTCGAGCTGCCACATAGGAATCAGGGCTCATTGATGCCTAGCCTTCCAGTTTTTATTTATTTATTTATTTATTTGGAGCCGGAGTCTCACTCACTCCATCGCCCAGGCTGGAGTGCAGTGGCGTGATCTTGGCTCACTGCAACCTCTGCCTCCAGGGTTCAAGCAATTCTCCTGCCTCAGTCTCCTGAGTACTTGGGATTATAGGCATGTGCCATCACACCCAGCTAATTTTGGTCTTCAACTCCTGACCTCAAATGACCCACCTACTTTAGCCTCCCAAAGTGTTGGGATTACCGGCGTGAGCCACCTTGCCTGACCGCCTTCTAGTTTTTTATGAACAAACAGAAATCCAGACTTTGATGTGAATTCTCCTAATTTTCAGATCTTGGTAATTGTTATAAGCATGTTTTTAAACACTGAGCAGAGTCAAGAGTGTATGTGGGGCAGATGTGAGCCGTGGGTCACTCCTTGCCACCTCTGCCCCAGGAGGGGTTATGCCTGGGCCGAGCAGCTGCAGCTTGGCTTGGTGGGAATTCATATGGAAGTGTCTTGGGGGAGCCCCAGGCAGCTCCGGAGGAGAGGGTGGAAAGGGCTGGGGGGATCACAGCAGGGATGGCTGGGGCTCACCTTTAAATGCTGGATTTAAAGACAATGTTCCTTCTGAAAGGTGAGAATGGAAGAGAATTATAGAACCACACGCCCATGTGCACAGCAGATACCTGATCTGATTGGATTGCTCCTCAGTGAAGGCTCGTTATAATGACCTCCGGAACTTCTGAGAAAGGTCTGAGTTGGTGTGGAAGACCCCTCTGCTGGGAGGGGCGGGCTGCTGCTCCCTTTCCTGGTACTTGCCTTCACTTTGGGTGGGGGCAGGGGCAGGGGCAGGCCAGTGGAAAGACCATTCGGGTAGGAATGGCACCACTTTTGCTTATCCTCTTCCACTTGGACAAATCTGTCCAGTTGGTCAATTTACCAAATAAAGCATTTTAATTATAATCCTGATGGGCGAGGTGGATGTGCAGCTGGCATACATGTGGCATCACGGCGTTGAAATGCTTCCTACTGTACACAGTGCTTCCATTTTGATACCCCAAGACCACCCAGGCTCCAGCGCCAGGCTCTGCTCTGCTCTTAAGTACTTTGGTCCTCACCCCATAGGGCCCCGTAAAGCCTGTTGTACCCAGGGCGACTCAGCAGTCTGGAAGGGGCAGGGGTGCAAGGAGCCCTTACCCACAATCATGCCGACCTCGCACTGATGGTCTTCGTAGTAGCAGGAGATCATCGTGGCCACCGTGTCATTCACCATTGCCACCACATCCATTTCGAAGTCCTGCCAAGAAGCACAGAGGCTGCAGTGCTGGGAGCCAAGGAGAAAGGCAGGCAGTGCTGGGGTGGGTGGCCCAGGGCAGCCCCCCTGGCAGTCACAGGTGCCCCCTCACCCCTCTCCGTTTGATGGCGTCTCGCAGAAGCCCCACGACATTGTTCCCTTCTGCTCCTGAGGCCTTGAAGCCCTTGGTCCAGTTGAGAAGGATGCCCTGTGGGGAGAGGGAGGCCTCATGGCTGCTTGACATATATGTTGGAGGCAGGGTGCTAGGGCCACAGGCGTATGCACCCTACTTTACAGCCCCATAGCTTTGAGAGGTGTTGGGAACGATTCTCCTTGAATATCTCATATTTCTGCAGGGCTGAGTCCCAGCCAATTTAAGAATGTTATACTACACAGCTCTGAGACGTCATCCCAGAGTCAAGGCAGGGCCTGCAGGAAGCAGCTCGGTGTAAAATCAGGATTTCCTTCCTGCAAGGCACCCCACTGCATGCACAGGTGCCACCTGCCCCTCTCTGTGTCTCTGTAGGGACTGGGGCTTGGAAAACCACATGAGATGTTGCTCTGGCTGCTGCTTTTGCTGTGAGTGAGGAACTGGCTTTCTCCCTGACCCAAAGGTCTCATGTTTTATGTGTGTGCATAGATGACTGTGTGTGTGTGTATGCACAGATGTAACTGGCAGGCCACCTTGCTAGCTTGCAGGGAGGGTAGAATCTCAGTTCCTTCACATTTCTGACTCAGCTAGAGGCATTGTGACATGACCGTGGCCTGCAGGTGACCCGGAGCCTGGCTGCCTGAGTTTGAGCCCCACTCCACTACCAGCTGCTCTTTCCACTGTAGTGGGGTGATCACAGCTGGTGCCTCACAGGGTGCAGAGCCAGAATTAGCTAATGTGATGCTTCTTTTCCACAGCATTAGAGGTGGCAGGTGACATGGCCACAATTTGAATCCAGATCTCCCTTCTGAGCACAGGGTATGGGGGCGGCATTTGAAGGCAGAGTTCCTCTGGGGCGCCTATGCCTCCCCTCATCTGCCTTCTGTCCCTCCATCTGGCCCACCTTATCGATGTCTTCATGCCTCACAGGAAAGGAGAAGGTGAAGCCCAGGGGCAGCTTCTTGTGCTTCATCTGATGTTTGTCCAGGAAGTCGGAGATACACTCGGAGATGTAGTCGAAGAGCTGGAAGATGCACGCCACGGTGACCATCTGGCATGGGGGGGTGCACCGGCCTGCAGCCCTCCCCAGGGCCTCATGCCAAGCTATTCCTCAGGGAACACTGCACCTCCTGGCCACTGAATGCCAGGCCTGTCCGCAGTTTCCCTCTCCTCTTCCGCTGCTGCTCCTTGGGCTCAAGCCCTAAACCTCCCCCATGCCAGAGACCTGCTGACAGTGGCCCCCGGGACAGGGCAACACAGGACAGGCTGGTCCCCAGCCCGGCTGTGCTCTGTCAGCCTAGCCCTCCCAGCTGAACCTTGTAAAGTCCAGTCTCAGGCCTGGCCGGCTGTTCCTGAGGCTCCAGATGGAGGTGCATCCTTGATTTCTGTCTGCAGCACCTGGAGTCTCCCTTCCTACTTCCAGGTGTCCTGGCCACCCATCTTTGCTGAAGGCCAGCCCTGACTCCCCTCACACGGGCCTCTCCACGGAATTGGGTACTGCTGAATGCTCTGCCGACTGACCAGGCTCCTCACTGGCTGCTGGGGCCAGGGAAGTCCCCACATCATCCCCACTGCCTTGATTCACGCCCAGCCCATAGACAGGCTAGCAAGCCGCAGGGGTGTGAGGACAGGCCACCACGGGCAGCCTCCTGCCTCGGAGCCCTGCCTCTCCAGGAGCTGGCCTTGGCCACGTGCTTGGCTGCAGCTGGGGCCCTGGCCTTGCCCAGCTCCCCCTAGGCCTCATTCTGCTTCTGGGTCCCCTGCACCCCAGTCCTCCCCATGGTCAGGGGTCCTTGCTGCCTGGGTAGACATTGTGATTGCTGTCACCCCACTTTCTGTGCATGCTGGTGGAGGGCGAGGGGTGGCCCTTGGAGAGGTGGGGAGTGCACTGGCTGCCGGGTCACATTTCTGTTCTAACACATTGGCTTTTCCTCTGGTAAACTGGACAAAGTGTGACTGGCTGGGGCTCCTCTTGCCACTAACCCCTCCTCAGCCCGTTCCCCTCTCAATGCTGGTCAGATGGTGACTGTGGGACTTGGGGACATGTTGGCCAGTCCTGTTCACCCAGGCTTCCAGCTGCCTCTGAGGCTGGGTGGTCCTCCAGCCCCCGCTCTCCCCACCCCTGGTGGATGGGTGGGACCTCCTGTCAGGACTAGCTGGGCCCTGAGATCCTGCATGGCCTTGGCTCCCTGCCCTGGCCCCTGTGCTGCTCACCATCTCAGCAGTGCCGGTCATGGCGTCCTCGGGGATGGAGTACATCTGGTGTTTGGTCTTCACGCTCCACTGCCCCTCCTCACCTTCTCCCACCTTCACCAGCATCACCCTGAAGTTGGTGCCACCCAGGTCCAGGGAGAGGAAGTCCCCGACTTCTACAGACACAGAGAGATGTCAGCCTCAGGGGCACCCACAGGCTGGCCTTGGGCTGGGTGGGCCCTGGGTGACTAGCCCGGATATTACAGAGAGGAGGAGGGAAGGCACAAAGGGACCAAGGGAGCTGGACAAGGGGCCACCAGACACTGGGGACACCAGCGTCAACTGTGGAGGGGTCAAAGGTCAGCTGGGGAAAAGTCAATGGGAAACTCCTGCCTTAGACAGAGTCACCAAGAGCCCAGGGACCAACTGAGGACCTAGTGCAATGGCCAGTGCAGAGCTGGGCTGGGCGTTCCCTAAGTGCCCATAGGGAGCAGTGAGGTTTTTTTTTTTTTTTTGAGACGGAGTCTCGCTCTGTCGCCCAGGCTGGAGTGCAGGGGCGTGATCTCGGCTCACTGCAAGCTCCGCCTCCCGGGTTCACGCCATTCTCCTGCCTCAGCCTCCTGAGTAGCTGGGACTACAGGCGCCTGCCACCACACCTGGCTAATTTTTTTCTGTATTTTTAGTAGAGATGGGATTTCACCGTGTTAGCCAGGATGGTCTTGATCTCCTGACCTTGTGATCTGCCACCCTCAGCCTCCCAAAGTGCTGGGATTACAAGCGTGAGCCACCGTGCCCAGCTTTTTTTTTTTTTTTTTTTTTTTTGAGGTGGAGTCTCAGTCACCCAGGCTGGAGTGCAGTGACGTGATTTTGGCTCACTGCAACCTCGGCCTCCCAGGTTCAAGCAATTCTCATGCCTCAGCCTCCTGAGTAGCTGGGACTACAGGCATGCACCACCATGCCTGTATAATTTTTGTATGTTTAGTAGAGACGGGATTTCACCATGTTGGGCAGGCTGGTCTCAAACTCCTGACCTTGTGATCTGCCCGCCTCAGCCCCTAAAGTGTTGAAATTACAGGGGTGAGCCACTGCACTTGGCCAGGAGTGAGATTTAAAAAGTCAGTTTGCCTGAGGTTTGCCAGCTCCAGGGTGAGTCCGAGTGCCCCAGGGCTGGACCAGAGGAGCCAAGGGTGAGAACTGGCCTCACAATTCGGGGACTTCATTGCTCCCCAGGAGATTCTGTCTCGGACTGGCTGTGAGTCTGGGAGTGCCTGGGGTTCTTTTCCCAGCTAGTGCTGAACCCACAGCTGCTTCTGGATGAGGAGCCGGTTCCCATGTGGTACCTGAGCCTTCTGGGGTGGAGCGCACGTAGGTGGGCAGCATCTTCACACTGGCCTCTTCATGGGTCTCCAACCTCAGGCCACGGTCCATCTCCTTCTGCATCCGTCTCATCACCTTCTTCAGGTCCTCCTCCTGCAGCTGGAACTCCGCCAGGATCTGCTCTACCTGCACAAGGAGGGGGATGGGAGCAGCAGGGCTGGGGACTCAGGGTGGGGCTGTCACCAGGCACCCACACGCCGAGGGTCTCACGGGCCATCTCCCCCACATGCCGCTGGCCTCCTTCTGTCCTCTGACCCCGGGTTCAGGATGACCCATCATCTCAAACTTTACTACAGGTAAAACCAGCTGGCAAGTCAGAAGAGCAGAGTCTGCGACCAGCCACTCAACAAATGCAGCCCGGGGCGTGTTGGAGGGGTGAGCAGCAGAGGGCAGAGTGGCTTCTGTCCCTGACGATATCCTTGTGGCACAGTGTCCTATAGCACCCTGCTTCGTCCCTCAGGTCAGAGCCAGGGAAAGGAGGGACTAACAGGGAGAGCTGGCGAGGTGGGGTTTGAGCCGCCTGTCTGGAGGGCGCCAGGCAGCTGGCATTGCTGTCAGAGAGACCCAGTCCTCCTACTTCTGGGATTTACATCAGAAAATAAATGGGCCAGTCTGCACAGGTGTGCTAAGGGCCAGCCAGGAGTGAGCGTGAGTGTCTAGAAGGAGGTGTCTGCTGACTGAAGCCATCTGTGGCATGGGCACACTGGGCCACAGAAGGAAGAGAGTCCCTATGCACTGACGTGAGAGACGCCTGGGCACACGAAGCTCAGATCCGATACTACCACTCCCGTGAGCATGGATGGCCCATGGTGTGGCTGCTCGCTCTCCACATGGCAGTGTGAGGACAGGCTGTGAATGCAGATGTGACTCTGCCTCTGCATACCCAGCAAGCTGGTGTGTGGACAGCTATGTGTCTGTCCCCTGGGCACCTTAGTGCTATTCATGGAGAAAAGGCCATGTTAATGTGCTGGTTATCTCTGGGCAGTGGTGAGAAAAATAATCATAAGGATATTTTCATCTTGAATCAAAAAGAGAAAGGAAAGATGCTCTGATAAAACTGTGGACCCATTCCACAAAAACTCACACACTTTTGCCCACAGTCTTACGCATAAGCTCAGGGGGTTGGAGATGATCTGAATCCCAGACAGGAGGCAACATGGCGATTTTCCTCTTCTTCCTCAGTTTTTAGAACTCAGATTTTGTTGGTGTAGGGAGCACATTGCGCCATGATTAGTCTAAGGTAGGTACAGCAATTCTATACTCCTCTTACTGATGATTGGTCTAGAGTTGGGCATGTCACCCAGTTCTGGCCAATGACAGGTGAAGGAAAGCCTGATTTTAGCAGGGGGAGGAGCTTCAGTGTCCCCCTAAATTTGTAGACACAGCTGTGTAAGGATGTGATAACCAGCGCTGTGATAGCTACCCTGCAACGATGAAGAAACAAGGCCAGAGGTTAAAGCTGTTCGCATACTGCGAACGTAGGGAGGAGAGAGTAGTGCTAGATTCACCCTCCATGTGCGGCTTATGGGAGCAGACAGAAACCACTTATGCCACCGTGAGTCAGGTGTTTGGCTTCCTGCAGCCCAAAGCATTCCCAATAGATACAGATCTTTAGTTCAGAACCATGTCTCCTAATGAGGCCCCACATGTGAATTTTAAACTCAGGCAAGGTCAGACAGGGATGGGGCTGATAAAGTCTGTGACAAAAGACACAGAATCAAACACCCATGTTGGCTGAGCAGGCACTGTTCCGAGGCTCTGAGCATGGGTGGGAGTGCATGCCCTCCCCGACCTCCAACCCTCCAATCCAACTGCCCCTGCGGAGCACACCCCTGGAGATGTCCTCAGGGCTCTGTGGAGCAATCCAGGCTGTCCTCAATGTCCCACAGCTACAACCTTTGCCTCCTCTGTCTTTCTTTCCTACACCCACCAATGTAGAGAATGCCAGGAACTAACTGTGAAGGCATCTGCCATTTGCTGAATTCCTCCATATGCCAGGCCTTGCATTAGGTGCCTCACATAGCAGCCTCACACACTATGCCGGGTCACCACAGCACTGGGGAGGAGGTGCCAGCAGCACCCATCTTGCAGATGAAGAAAAGCTTACAGAAGTCATTTATGCAGGCACAGACAGCCAGTACACTGTGGTGAGGCCAGCACCCAAATCCACGCACACAGTGGCTACTGGCAGGAAGTCCTGGGGAGCCTACCTGGCATCTCCCGCCAGACAAGATTGGTCAGAGGGACCCAATTATAAGATACCTGCAGGCTCTCAACAAAAATGATGCTGCTTTTGCAAAGGTCCAGCCCTCACACCTGCCTGGTACCACCCTTGTGCCTCTCTCCAAGTGGCCCATCCTGGCGCCCACAGACCTGGACTCTGGTCCTTTGGCCCCAGGTTCTTCATGGGAGGAGCCAACATTTCAGTCTGAGGTCTTGGCAGAGGACAATGACATGGAGCCTGTGCCCAGGCGGCTGATCAGAGTGTGGCTGTATTGTCAGACAGTTAGGGCCCTTGAGTGATCCTCCCTTGCAGGGCTGTGGGGAGAACTGGCCCAGCCCTTGGAGAACTGGGAGAGCGAGGTACAAGGTGGCTGCTGTGTCTCTTATCACATGTTGGGAGGCTGGGCCCCGTAGGGTGTTGAGGAGGCCCAAGTCTTCCCCCTCTGTATCAAGGCCTGTGTGTGGCCCTGCCACTGACTGGGTGAAGTCCCGGCTCTACTGCCTTCTAGGCCAGAAAGTTCTCCTCCAGGAATCCCGGCATTGCGTGATGTCAAACTGATACCATCTGTTCAGAGGGCAATTTGGAGTTTCTCTAAGTTGAACTTTGATCTGACAGTTTCTCTCCTAAGAATCTGTTCTGCAGCAAAAGGGCTGTAGGCATTTCTAAGATACACAGGGGTGTGTCCCCTTGCTGCAACAGTGAGGACCCCCATATTCACCGTCAGGGACTTTAAATCAACTCCAGGATGCTTACTGCAGGGCCTCCTGTGGCCTTTCCCGTGAAGGAGACACATAGGCATAAGTGAAGACATGAGATGGGACCTGAGGTAGGACCTGATTCCATTTCTGTAAATAAAGTGGCATCTGGCCTGCAAATCTGATTTGTCCTGTATGATATTCTCAAAAGCTTAAATTTGCTGCCACCACTTAAAATCTATTTAAAATAGAGACACTTTTACACAAAAATCTGGATTTCTGTAAAAGTAGGTCTGCATTCTCTGTGGGGCTGCAGGGAAGCGGGGGACATGGGGTGGGGGAGCTTGTCTCCCCACAGTGGCAGAACCAGCCAGGGTCTCCTGGCCCAGGGCTCTCACCTGGGCCCTGCCCTAGCCAGATGCTGCAGGGTCCCTGCATTGTCCACACCACAGGGCCTATGAGGACCCCTCACACACTTCCCAGTGGGCATGGGTTGGAGGATAGATGCTGTCAGGTTCTGAGGCTGTAGTCACCAGTAGACCTGGGGGTTCACCTCTTACGTGGGGAGCATCCTCCAAAGGTGAGCCTTGTTCTTGGTGGGAGCAAGCCCCTTCCTCAGGGTGCACCTGGGCCTGCAGAAGTCCCCCTCCTGGCACTTGGTAAGCATGCAATCCCAGAGGAGGAAGCCTGGACCCAGCTTGGTCTCACAAGCCTGGGGGTCACGTTGTGGGGCAGAGGTCTGCCTCACAGACACCCAGGACAAGCCCAATGGCAGGGACTGAGGCTGATGCACACTTCCTGTGTGCCAGGCCTGCTCTGGGCACGCTTCCCTGTTATTGGTACAGCCACTCTGGGACATGGGTACTTTTATTATCTCCATTTTTTATAAGTGAGGAAACTGGACACAGAGGTACAAACCCTCCCCCAGGCCCACAGAACCACGGGCCATGGAGGGGTTTGAACCCAGGCACTGGCTCCAAACTTTCCTCTCACCCAACCAGGCTACATCCTGCCTGACTTCAGGCCCAGCACCAAGCTGTTACTTGTGCCCAGACCCCAGCTACAAGTGTCTCTCTGGCTAACCTCTTGCTGGGTGTCTATGCAAGCTTACAGGGCTTTCCCAAGCAGCCTAGGAAACGTGCTGATACCTGGGGAGCCCTGAGAAGCCACCTGGCCCCCCAGGTGTAGCCTGGGGCACAGACAGAGCCTGTCTGTGAGGCCAGAAGAGAACAAACAGAGCCTGTCCTTCTCCCTGGCAGCCCCTGGGAGGCAGCCCCAGCCAGCTTGCAGAGGTTTCTCTTACTGACCTCACCCGAGAGGTCACAGGACACATAATCAGGGCTCACAGTCAAATGTATAACTTTTCTCGCCTGAGGACGCCCCACACTCCCTGCAGGGCATCTGACCCTCATCTCTTCAGCAGATGCCCACTGAATACCAGGTGCGGCGAGGGGCACAGAAGCAGAGTTGACAGCAGGACCAACTCCTCTGAAGGGCGGGGATCTGCAGGAAAGAATCTCAGTCAAACTGGTGACAGGTTGGGGGGTGAAGGAATGGGGACAGATGAAGCAGGGACGAGGTCGGGCATCTCCTGTCAGAAGATGGGGCAGGGGACCTGCAGTGAGGCTGGAGCAGAGATGGGGAGGGAGAGAGTGAGGCTGAGCTGTGAGCAGCAGGAGGTGAGAAGCCTGGAGGCACCGGGCTGCAGAGCGGGGGCATCTTGGGGCAGGGTGGGAGCAGGGCATCAGGCTGTCCTAACAACCCCTGCGCAGGGATGGGGGGTGTAGGCTTGGTGAGAGGGGTAAAAACCTAGACTTACTCTGAAGGGAGGTGGGAGGGGCTGAGGAGAGGAACAGAAGGGCCTGGGAAGAAGAGGTTCCACCTGACCTGGGAGTTGGGTTGTGGGAGTCAGGATCTTGGTCTGGGCATGTTAACACATCTGCCAGCCAAGGGGCAATTTGTTCCAAGTAGCAGTTGGCCATGTGAGGCCAGAGTTCAGAGGAGAGTCTGGCTGGAGAGGTAGATGTGGAGCCTGGACATGGTCACCAGGGTGTACAGGTTGGATAGCAGTGGGAGAGGCAGAGCTGGTCGGGCAGGGCTGCCGGGGCAGGATGCTGTCCCTTTTATGCAGCGAGCAGTGCGTTGTAGCCCCACCTCCAGAACGCAGTACAAAAGGCAGGATGCCTTCTAGGGCCGCCTTTGGCAGA